GTCTGAAATAACCGTGGATGATATTAGTATGCCAAAACTGAACAAGGTAATACTAATAGTTGGTCACGAGATCAGGCTCTCAGAACGGCTTGCAAAACTAAGAATATGAATCCCATGAATGGTCTACAGGTTAGTTCCTTCTACATATTTTAGATTCAATTCTCCGTAATTATTGCTTACGGAAAAAATTCTCAGCAATCGATTTGGCAAATAAAAGTTCCTTTTCAATTATTTATGTCTTGACTTGCTGAATCAGCTTTTAATGACTGATAGATATGTTGCGGAAGCCAAATGTATATAGTGTGAATAAGTCACAACTACTATACCAAAAATTATGACAGCCACCAAATAATAAATAAGACAATAAAGCAACAATAAAGGGAACACCAGAATTTACGAGGTTCGGCTAATTTTGCCTACTCCTCGGACACAACCAATATTTTATTTCACTCCAAAAATACAAGTGAAATAATACTAAAGAGAGAAGATACAAATGCCTTAAACAGATGAGAAGGCAAATGAGAGGTGTGTTTCAATTCTAAACATTAGGCCTTCTTTTATAGGGGAAAAATCCCTTCCAAACTTAACTCCCAACCAATGTGGGACTTTGGCATTTTGCCAAACTTCAACAAGATAAACGGAGTGTGTATTTTTGGACTGATAGATAAACGGAATGTGTAATTTTGGACTGATAGATGGACGAAGGGTATCTATAAACCATTTATCAAACACTAGGGGTAGTTTAGGCCCTTTTCCGTTTATTTTACCCAAAGCTCAGTAATGGGAAAAATATTTCAAAGGTTCTCTTAAATATGTTTCTTCCTATTCTACTCCGCCATTTAAGAAAAGACTCTGTCTGGCTAATATGAAAGATTCTTGTACCGATTTTAATATTGTCGTTAAGGTTATTAATTTTTCCATTGATACTCAGTTCATGAACTCATGTAATTTGTCTACAAAATATTGCAGGGATGCTTTAAAAAATGTGTACAAAATGTTTTGCTGGAGAACAGCTTCTCAGCTTTCTGATAATGAGGTCCACGCCTGTTTGTACTGCAACAAAATTTGAAAAGGTTTGCTTGCTTTTGTAAGTTAATGTAGTTATGGCTTGTGATTTGTAAAGAATACTGTCTATTTCTCTTACTTTGTTTTATCTACTTGTCTATATATTTACATTTGGGATTAGCGGTAGATTTAGATGTTCTTTTTTTTCTTTTCTTTTTCAAGAGTGATATTGAAATCAAGAGGGGAGAAATTTGCCTCTCTATTTAGCAAACAAAGTTGAGCCAAGACGACAATAGTGCGAGGCTTGTTCTCTTCTCAATTCTTTAAGTGCTAGAAGAAGTGCTTCTATATATAAGCACAAGAATTTTCCTCTTTCTATCCAATGAGGGACACAGTTACTTGTAAAAAGAACTAATTCAAATTTCATTTTCCTTCATTTTTTTCCCACTATTTTCTATTCACACCTTTTTTTGTTTTAATTTAAAAAACCAACCGTGAATTTTTATATTTTCGACTCTAGAAGTGGTAAGAAACTAAGAATTGATGATATGAGTGATCAGATATCACTACAATAAGTCTAGTGGGATGATTGCGATTCTCCAACGTTTAACTAGAGGTATCAAGTTCTAGCTCTGAAAATGAAGAATCTTTCGGCAAAGAGCATTTTATTCCCTTATTGTACCTACTGATCGAAACTTAAAATAAATATGTCGGATCGGTATTTTTGAATACTCAATGCTTAGATTGAAAAACAAAATTTGGTGAGATGCCATTGTCACATGAGCTATACAAGACTACATGCATTTTGAGCATACCAATATTCATCCTAGAAAGAAAAGACCAATTCACGAGCAAGGAAACAACATATTAATGGGTTTATGCTTAAGGGTTTGATTGTTGTCGAAGCAACTGGATTCTACCCGTTCAATTAGTTGGGAAAATTTTGTATATTATACCTGAAATGGTTCCATATATTGTTAGCTATAGCCTCTCGCCATATATTCTTTAATTACTTAATAATTTTAAGTAATTATATAAGTTTACTTGTATTTGGTTCAATTTCATGCATTTATAAGCTTTTATTTAGTGTTAACTGTTAACATTATTAAGGGTATTTTGGTCATTTTAAGACATAACTGCTTATTGCTAAATTCAGCTCCAACACTTTAAAAAGTATTTGTAAGCACTTGGTGCGTAAAAGCAGCTTAAATTCAGTTCATCCAAAATTATAGACTGCGCAAAAGCTACTGGGTACTTTAGCTTATACTCTAGATTCGTCGTTGTATCTAATGTGAATTTTTTGTAATTCTTCCTCCTTAGCATGTATAACAATATAGAAACTCTAGAAGGAAATTGAAAGAGTAACCTGATATATTAAGCTCCCAATTATATATGAAATCCGAAGATGGGTCGGACCACATTGAATTTAATTTATTGTAAGCAATCTTCTCTTGGATTTCTATATGAAACTCTAGAAAGGAAACAAAAGAAAAATTCAGAATGTTAAACTATTGTTTCTGAGTGCTGCTTATCATAGCAATGATATTTAGACTACTAGAAATCTGTCAAAATTCGTTCACACTGTACTGTAAAATTCATTTAGAGTCCAGAGTAAAAAAAATCCTTTTAATTTTGCCTCTAAAATTATTTCAGCATGTTATAAAATCGATTGGAAGAGAAAACCGACCGAAATCGGTCGTAAAATATCTAAATTGGTCGAAAAAGTCAAATAAATTTTTTAACAAAAGATACCAACCACTTTCAGTCGTAAAAAGTGGTCCCACAATAAATAAACACTGCTATTTGGCACATATAAAAATTACGACCGATGTAGATCGGAAATTGGTAAAATTTTTACCAAGACATGGTTAGACTTGCATATTACCTACAAAAAAATTGAATATACCGAATCGGAAACTTTGACTTATTTTTTCCCGCTTAGGCTCAATTATTCTTTTCCATAATAAAAATAATATTTTAAAATTATTATGAATATACCGACCGATTTCGGTACGTATTAGTGGTAAAAAATGGTTAACCACTTATAAATTATTGTTATTTACATTATATATATGTTGTACACACACATATCAACATCCAACATCTGTACGCAAGATGCAGAAGTGTAATATGAGTACAACCGACCCCATGTGCTCAATAAATAACAAACCTTACCTTAAGGTTGAAAGTAGTGACGAGCTGAGACAAGGGCCAGAGTCCAACTCCAATAACCAACAACATTTCATAACAATATAGTAAAGATGGTGCAAGAAATAACTCAATAAATAAATGCTCAGCTCGTATAAAACCCCGAAAAATAAATGCTTCTTTTCAAGTATAAAGTAAAACTCAAATCCTTTGCCGAATCACCAAAATATGAGTAGGTTTGTAAAACTGTGATTTTTCCCAAAACTTTTCAACAATACTTAATATGTTTCATTTTTTCAGATAACATGAGGAAAGTACATCTATATGCCTACATATCACTATGCAGGTGAAATCATGAATGATGCAATGTCGTACAACATGAGAAAAACTGCATCTTTATGCATGTATGTCAAGTGTGCATGTCGAAGGCAATGTATCTGTCACGCCCCAACCTTGGGAGGCGTGGCTGGCACCAGGTACTGCAGTGGCCCGAGCGAACCACTTTGTAACTAATTCATTCTTTTTGTAACTATCATAGGCCAACATGGCCACAACTCGTAATGTATAATTGTAAGTACACAACATTATATTACTAAACCATTTTTCTTAAAATATGAATACATATGGGTCATCAAGGCCTCTGACATATTGTACAAATTGAACCTCTGTCTACAAAGCCTCTAAGATTGTTTGACATCAAATGAGACATGGTACCGGCCTACCCATAAGTCTGTAAAAAAACTCTGACACGATGACTCATAGACTCGGTTGCACTCCGAATAAGGTGGAGTCTTACCGATCCTTCGCTAAATGCAAACCTCGTCTACTGTGAGGGCTTGTCAATCTGATTATCTATACGTGCAGGCATGAATGTAGCATCCCCAACAAAAGGACGTCAGTACGAATAATGTATTGAGTATGTAAGGCAGAACTGAAACATAACAATAAGTCAACATCAATTAAAGACACATAAGAATCAACCTAAATCTCTGAAATGCCACCTTATCTGCATACTTATCATACTTATATATATAATGCTTCTCTTTGAGACTATTTCTATTATCCATATCGTATGATGCATGACTGGCCAATTGATCAATGGTAACTGTCCGACCGGCCGTCACACGGTAGTAAATGTATGACTGCCCAACCGGTGGTAAATAATGATACATAACTGCCCCACCGGCCGTAGCCCGATGGTAAATGCATGTCTGCCCAACCGGCTGTAGCACGATGGTAAATATGTAACTGCCCAACCGACCGTAGTTCGGTGGTAAATGCATGACTGTCCGACCGACCGTAACTCGATGGTCAATGCATATGCATGAAGATGCATGTATTACTGTATTATAAACACTAATATCTAGTCACATTCATTTTCTTCCAAAAATCAGTTAATTGAGGGAGCCACAAAGTTAAGCTATTAGAAATTTCAACTAGTCACACCGCTAGACAAACCAAATAGGAACTCAATATCCCATCTAGTGTTACTTTTAGCAGTCTGCAAAAATTTTATGACTTTAAGTTTAAATCATACCTTTTGGAATCAGAATGCAGTAAGAACACTACAAGAAAAAGGGTTTTTAGTGGCAGGTATCAGCGGCGACTCTACTAATTGCCACAAAAGTTAAGGATTTAGTGGCGACTCTAGCAAATAAAATTATTTGTGGCGACTATTAATCTGTCGCCACTAAAAAGACAACTTTACCTAGTCGCAACAAATATTTTCAGCTACGGGACAAAATTTTTCTTTCCCGGCAAAAGAGAAAATTTGGCTCCAAAAAATTAGCTGGTTGACTTTTGTGGCAATTTGATCGCCACTGTTCTTTTCATTTTAAAGTTTTAAGGATAAATTAAAATACAAACACTTCAGAAATACTTATATAAAGTTATTTATTCTACTTTTTAAAGTTACAAGAATCTGCTCTCAATTCTCAAAAATCTCTCACGCTCAAAAAGGGAAGAGAACTCAAAAGGTTAGAGATCTGCTCAAGAGATCAATCGTAATCTCAAAACACAAATGGAAATTCTCTCTTCAAAAAAGCCCTAAGCCAGAAGGTGATTTTTACCCTGCTGCGCTGAAGAACCCAACGAAGGTGTCTTGTTTCTTTGATTTCCTGAGGTTTTAACAAAGAATATCAGTAAGCTATTTCTTCTCAATCAGTTTAGGAATTATTTGTTGCTTGAGTTCAACTTTATTGTTGAACTTGACTGTAGAACTATCATCAGTTTTACCCGTTCGGATTCGTTCAAAGTATTCTGTCAACTAGAAATCATGACAGGCATAACCAAATAGGTAATAAATTTATGTATGTGCATATGTTTGGCTAAAGTTTAGTACATATTTGAGTTTTTGTATTTCACTTAGAACAACATGCCCTTAGGACCAAAAGATTAATTTGGTACTTCTTTAAATGAAAAGATTCTGCCCAAAAGATATATGCTTGCTCTCTGTGATTTGATCTTGTTAC